ATGAAAAGAAAAGTCTGTTGCGGTGTGCCGTCGGTGAGGGCGGCAGCGTAGGGTAGTGGTTAGAGCCTCGGACTTGCAGTGCGTGGGGGACCTTGCTCCGTCACTGTCTTTCAGCCTAACCCACTTTCCGGAGTGGTTGCAATAATGACATTGGAGAGGGGGAGAGGGGGGCCAAAAGGATCAAGAGGGTGGCCATCCAAGCTGGCATCACGACCACCATCTTGACTTTTTTGCCCCCCAGCCACCCCTGGAATGAGGGGAGAGGAAGAGAAGAGAAAACAATGTGCTTTTCTCTGAACTAGTTGAAGGAAGGATGGAATAAAACATTTCTTGCTAGGTATCGATACAAGGATTTCCTACTTTATTATTAGCTGTGTTCAGGAGACTGTCCGTAATTTAATAAGCAAAACATTGAGCAGGTCACACTTTTCTTGAAAAGGAGAAGGAGGAGCAGAATCAAACAGAGTCCTCCTTATCTTTAATTAAACAATGTTAACTGCTATCAAAATGGACGTGAGATAGGGGGATTTTAAAATATATATATATATATATATATATATATATATATGGTTTATATCCCAGCTTCCCTCCAAGAACTCAAGGTGGCTCCTCCAACTTTCCCCCCACAACAACCCTGTGAGGTAGGTTGGGCTGAGAGACTCTGATGGGTCCAAAGTAGCCCCGGCAGATTCGAAGGCGGATGGTGGATTTAAAGTTTCTCCATTCATAATCCGACACCTTAACCAAACTGGGTCAGACTGGGAGCTTTGGGGCGGGGGGAAATGGGTTTTAACCCTCCCCTATGAAAATCGCCATCCCGCCCAGTAAGGATCTGCTTAAGTAGGAACATCTCCCGCAAATGAAAGAAACCTCTGGGTGAGGAGAAGGGTGATAACAGCAAGAACATCTTGGTGTGCCCCTTAAAAGGCGTTCGCTCTAAGCCCTGGCAGACCGGAGAGGTTTGGGCAAAGAGAAACAAGGTATGAAATGCCCATCCGATGTCCTGGAAAGATTCTGGCCCTGCTCAAACGCACGGTTCCTTTCGGCACCCCAAGCGGGTGGCAACCCCAGAAGTGGGTACCCGCTATTTTCTAGTGATTAATTACCCCCGTCTGTACTCAGAGCACCGCTAAAGTATCCACACCTTTCTCAGAACTGGAAACGTACATATTTGCTGATTAAAAAGAATGGAAGAAGGGAAGCAGGTAATGCAATTTTGAAGAGATCAGAAGTTTGTCTGGAGCAGCTGTGAAGAAGATCAGAAGCTGCTTCTTTATATATAATTTTCCTTTTTTTTTTCTTTTTCTATCTATACTGTTCCTTGCACTTTTTTCCTTTTCCTTAACCCTTTTTCCAGGTCTATCTTTTATCTATGTTAGCATCTCTTAATAAAAATTATATTAAAGGAAGGAAGAAACCATCTTTGTCAAATGCCTCTCTCCTATCAGGCAAACGGAGATGCTCCTGGAAAACAGAGACTTCGGCTCTTTCCTTATCAGGCTGAACGAAAGGTCGTTCGGCTACATCCTTTCATACCGGTAAGTCCCCACATTCGGGCTCCTCCCCAGGTGGGAAATGTCACCGCTGGTGGTGTGAATCCCCCTCTTCCCCAGATCCCTGCTGGGCTTGGTCTCTTCCTCCACACTCCAGCGCTCTGCGACCCTGAATCCGGTCCTCGAGCGCGGAGGGGCCGTGCAGGTGGGCTGCTTCGCCTCCCCAAGGTCAGTGCGCGCAGCCTGATGCTCGCTGGCAAAGACTCAAAGCGGCATCTGAGACAAATGGCTGGGAATTCTTCTTTCTGGCGTGTTTCGGGGGGGTTAAGGAAATAACTAGCCCTCAGCAGATTCTGGATGATCTCTTCCTAAATGAAAAGCAACTAACCTGCAAGGGAAGGGAGGAAAGAAATGTTTGCATCATGTGCTGAAGGGAGGAGGGAAGGAGGGACTGATAGACAAATAAAACATTGTTGTAGTCACAGAGGTCAAAATGCTAGTAGCAACGGAACAGCATCTATGTTTCAAAGCAACATTTACAATAAAATATATTATCAGCCGGAGACTTCAGTTCCTGGCATCAGTACAACTGTGTCCTACTCAGCCATACGGTGGTGCCAGACCTAACCCAGCGTAGCAAAACGCAGCATGGTTTTGCATGCCGTCCTTCTGGACTAAACCCCCCAGTGACAGGAGGCTTTCAGCTGTCCGGTTCAGGGGCTGCATCTGCAGGTCTGCATCACCCTGGGAGTTCAGGATAGCTGGGAGGGAGAGGGGAGCCGAAGGAAGAGCCACTGGGCTGTTGCCACCACCACCCACCCACCTTGCATCTCCTGAGACGTCCATCCCATTTTGCTTAATAGTAGGGCAGGCTGAGGCCCCACTTGGCAGACTGGCAGGCAAGAGAGAGGCAGAAGGAAGGTGGTGTTTCCACGGTGCCTAGAAAGTGGAGTTTGGGAGGCCGAAGAGAACCATGCCAGGCTACGGGTTTTACTCAGCAGGCGGTCCTCAGATGGCATGCTTTTTGAATCCCAGAGGGAAGAATCGGTGCCGTCATTTCGTCGTCAGCTGCCAACGCAACAGGCATTATGTCGTATCCGGAGACACCCGAACGCATCAAAGTTTGGCTGAACTGATCCGCTATTATCAGACGACTGAAATACAGCCTTTTGGGGAAAACCTCACCTCGGCCTGTTCCAAGGTGGGTTCGGTGCTGAGCCCTAGACACAAACACAATTACGCACAGGCAAAGTTATCCTTCCGTTGTTCTCTGGGTTGAGCTCAGCATCACTTTCTCCCCACCCAACCTATCCTAAAGGGTTGCAATCAGCGGGACTCTTCCTTGCACGCTTCCTAACGTAGCCAGGGACATCCTCACCCATGAATTTCAGCATCCTTTTAGCATCACGGTGTAGTTTTCTCAGAGCTAATTTTTTTTTTCGTGGCTGTTTACATACCATAACGGTGGCTTTCCAGAGCTTTCTTCTTAAATTTGAAATAGAAGTTTGGGTTAATGGGCTCTGTGCTGCCAGAAGCATTAGAACTGGAAAGCTATCTAGGACTTACATGTATTCCAAAGTTAACGATAATTGTCCAGCATGCTGTATCTTCTCCATGCTCTTCCACTTTTATAGCTGGAGGAGAAAAGCATATATGATGAAATATCTTCTGGCCGAAGTTCCAGTGCAGCCGCTCCAACGCTGATCGGGAACCCACCTACCGATTCCAACCAACAGCCAGGAAATCCGAGGATACAGCTTCAGGAAGAGGAGAAGTCTTTTTTCAAAGAAAGTCAAAGTTCAGGCCCAAAGGTAGGTTTTGGAGAACGATCTAAACCAGCTTCCCTCAACCTCACGTCCTTCAGTTGATCGTGAGTGGATGGATCCCTGCTTGGCATGCAGGGAAGCTGAAAGTTAGATGGATCAAAGGTCTGGGTCATATGCAAGCATCTTCTTATGCTGCTCAGTCTTCTTATCCAACAGTCTTGGATGCCAGTTATCCTCATTAAGCCAACGTAACTCCTGGTGAGATGTTCAGAAGAGGCAAAGGGAAGGGCAAGCTGAAATGACGGGATTTACTGTTGCAAGATGCAATATTTTTATGCATTGATTTATAATATCCTCAGCCTGCTCGCTCTCCAGTGGCAAGAGCAATCCATAGGTTAATCTCAACTCACAATAGCTTGGAAGGCTGCCAAGGGTGAATGAGTCCATTTTCTGAAGGGGAAGGAATCGGTAGCAATTAATTGTGACATCTCTGGGGTCCCTCCATTTCTGAGGAGGTATGGCTTTCTGTATTGGGTCCTGGGGCTCAGCAATAGGAAAGGCATGTATGCTGTGCATTAACTTCCCTAGAGGCATCTTGCTTGACTATTACGGCAAGAAAGATGTCACAGTCAGAAGGTACCTCTTGAAATCTTCACCACGAAGCAGACATTCTTCTCAGCAGCTGTCTTTTTCCTTCCTTACCTTTATCCATCACATGAGGATCTGGATGCAGTCCCACCTGTACCAGACAGGTCCCACTTGCTGAAGTCACTGTCCCTGGAAGAAGGCGTTGGTGGAAAAGGAATCATTTATTCAACCGTGAAGAAGTCTTCTTTAGACAAAAGATGCTTGGAAAAGTCAAAAGAGGGGTGCAGAGATTTTGTGGATGCTAAGGCAGAGAAAACTGAAGGACTGAGCCAAAGTCTCCCCTCTCTTTGCCAAAAGAAGACAGGAACAGTGTTTGCCTTGGCCAAGCAGTCAGACACGCCATTCACCCAAAAAGTGAATCCTGCAGAGACACCTCAGCCAGAAACAGTTTATTCTAAGGTTGCCCTTGACCACGCCAAAAGCTGTTGGGTACTTGCTGAGCCCCACAGTTGTCAGTCTTTTCTATCATCCAAGAAATCAGCTGTAAATGTTCCTAATTACCCACCTCCAAAATTAACTCCTAAGTTACTGAATAAACCCAAAAATTTGATGGAGTTCCATGAACAGCAGTCTCCCCTTGGGATATATACAAGTCCTGAGAGTGACAAAGAACATGGACAACTAAACCAGCTGAAATCCTTGTTTGAATTACCAAAGGAACCCACAAATGAGAAGATCCTTAAGGTGAAAAACCATCAACCTACCTTATGGACAGACAATACAACTAATACTCATGAATCTTTCAGGTGGGCAAAGAGTATCTTCCTTGGTTCAGAAAAGGTTCCTAAGGCTTCACTGACCAAGTCCAAAGGGTCTCGTGATCATATCTCAACAAAGTTTGGGCAATCCTCCAAGATTCAGATCAACCCTGAGAACCCATATGAAAAAATACCTGATCCTTACTCCAAAGGTTCCTCAACCACAGGTCAAGCTTCTACTCTGGAGGACCCCTATGAACGAATTCCCTACATGCCAGGGAAAAGAATAGAAGCAAAGCTAACCCCAAAGGTACTGTAACCTTACATGTTCACCCATAATGAACCTTGAATGTTCGCCCCACATTAAGGGAACATGGCTCATAAATCAGAGAAGTTCTGTTCAAGCAATAGTAGGGGCCAACTCTGATGATTAGCATGGGTATAGTCAGTGAAAAGAAAGGGATATCTAGCTTTAAAATCCAAAATCCAGGAAGGAAGGAAGGAAGG